ATTTGAAAAAGGGTCCTAAAAGGGTGCCTGAACTGGGGTTCGAACCGCAGAATGCACTGTTGCAGGCGGGGTCAAACGGCCTGGATTTTGATGGTTTTCCCAATTCAGTGCTTTTGGGGCAAAACCTGGCCGAAATCCTATTCTTGCTATGGCTTGCTTTTTGGACAAAAAAACTTCAGAAACATAATTGGAAGAGGATTCCATATGGGATTGCAGAAAAAAATTCTAAAAAAACTCAACGTTTGACCCATTTATGGCCAAAAGCTAGAAGTTCATTTTTTTCTGAATGGACTGTAGCTGAGTCTCTCGTGCACTGTGAAAATGTCTGCAGCAAAATATGTTTTCAGGGACCTACTTTGATTTGAGCGTCGTCGCATACTTGCAGGCCCATCAGCGTCAGAGTTTCCATAAACAACCTAAAATCCGCAGGTGGAAGCGGAACAAGACAAAGCCAGCCATAAGTGGTGCACACCACACCACTCCACCCCCCCCCCCCCCCTCCCCCCCCCACACACTTACTCAACCCTTCTGCATGTACTCCACCAACCTAAAATCCGCAGGTGGAAGCGGAACAAGACAAAGCCAGCCATAAGTGGTGCACACCACACCACTCCACCCCCCCCCCCCCCCCCCCACACACACACACTTACTCAACCCTTCTGCATGTACTCCACCCTCCCCCCCACACACTTACTCAACCCTTCTGCATGTACTCCACCCCCCCCCCCCCCCCCCCACACACACACTGCCCTGCTGCTACTACATTCTGTACACAAGATTGCACTAAAGTTACTACCTAGAATGCATCTGCAGACACTCGAAACATACGTTAACAGAACATTGGCACTGACTATCGAGAAAAGTTGACGCCTACACCCGGACACTAAAGTAAATGTGTGCGGCAAACCCCAAGTCAAAAACGAGACGCAAGTGGAAACTACCCAAATAGCATTAGCCACTGATAGTATGCCCACACAAGCCACACAAGCCACACCCAGACACGTACTTGCTGGCTTGTGAAAATGCGCGGCCAGCCTCGATGTACTTTTTGCATTGCTTGATGGTCTGCAGGCAGAACGAGCCAACAACAAAAGGCAAAATGTAGACATAGCGATGAGAATCAAGACATCCTCAATGCGATGCCGGCTTGATATAAATAGTGTCTTACACACATTCATGTGCGTGACAATGCCTGTCATGACCGGATGACCGCGGTACAGTCAGTATTGTCCTTGATTCCTCTGGCCAGGGAGAGAACTATGGCGGTTGTGAATGGCCCCAGCATGGAAGCCCTTTCCTTTCCAGACCTGTTTCCATTGACCGCTTCCCTTCTAAGATCACCTGCACAACATAGTGGCCAGGCTCGAACAGTTCAGCTGCACCAGCGCCGGGAGTGTAGGGAGCTTGGACAGTTCAGTAGCATGGTTGGTTAAGACAAACACCAGTGACATTGATGAGTCAGTTATCAGATGGTCAAAAAGAAATGAAAAATCCGCAATACAGTGACCATGGGACACAGCGGACACGTGATAACGCCAATGAAAAGAGTTCCATTGCTGCTGCCTAGGCATACCTTTTCAATGTGTGATTCCAGCTTTGAGATCTGAGCCTCGTGTACCTCCAGATGACTCCTGCGACATGAAGACAAAATTGGCTCCTAATGTCAAAATGGGGTTTTCGGGAGTATAGAATGACATGTGTGTGTGTTCGTGTGTGTGTGTGTGTGTGTGTGTATGTGCGCGCGCGACCGTGCGTGCATGCGTGTGCATAACTGGGTTGTCGTCTACTAGCAACAGATAACTCGTGAAATCGTTCCCACGGCTTCACTCAACGAACTCTGCCCTTATCAATTGGAATAGATCTACTGCTACCACTACCACCACCACACCTAACATAGACAGCCAGATGCATATTTATAGATCTCGTAATAACTGTTGCTACCATAGAGATGCAAAGGGCAAAGACCAGAAATACTGAGAACGAATATTCACTCGAATACCGCTTCACCCAATGAACAAATGCTCTACTATTCCCCGTGCACCAGCGATGCACTCCGAAAAAAATAATCACGTCTTGCCAAGCTGCCTGCCTTCTCTAATGTGCCCCTGCTCTCCTCCGTCATTGCCCGCACATTGTTACCATATGGTTGGGACGACCCTCGCAGCAGCATTACAGCACCAGCATACCTTTCAGAGCATGCCTTGTAGCGCGAATGCACCACGCTCCGTAATAATTCAAGAAATTTCCTTTTCCAATGTTCTAGGAGCGTTGTCAGTTCTTAGAAATGCACTTTTAGACAGAACATATTCCAACGAATGTATTCGCTTGATGTGTTCCTAAATATGTCAGGTGATGCGGCCACGAATCCGGCTAACTGTACTTTTTTTTTAATTCCAACAATCCAAAATTTACACGTCCAGCTACTGTCTCAGCTACTGCCTCTAATGGCGTAATGCGGGTATGGCATTAATTGATTGCCAGTGTCTGGTGTGTTATGATACCGTAAAAGCCCGTAATAACGCCCACCCAGTATAACGGCCGCTGCTCGTATACACGCCCAAGCGCCGCGTGTCAGCACTCTTGTCCCATTTTCTAGCCCACCTCCGAGTAAACGCCCATGGGCGGCAGCACAGGCCCAGTACACAGTGCAGTGCATGCATAGATCCACTTGCATGTACGGTACTGTAGTGCAGCTCAATGAAATCCAGTCGTGTCACTCAAATTTGCGCCTTCAATCATTTTGCAGGCCAGTGTTCGCAGGCCTAGGGCTGCACAACGCCCGACGCGTACTTGAATGACGCGACTGGATTTCATTGAGCAGCACTGTATAACTTAGTGCACAGTACACTGCGCTAACTTTATACGTACATGTAGCAGTACGGCATGATGTGGAAAGAAGTCTGGTTTCACTTATAACTAGTATCCGAAATAACGCCCGGGCCCTAATACACGCACATGCTCTGGACCTTCAGTAACGTTTCCGCCCAGGACCTTACTATGGGGTTCTACGGTAGTCCGATGTTTCACAAACATGGTAAATATTACACTATCCACGATCAGTTTCTCTCAACATTTGACATGATCTGTTGTGAAACAAGAATGGGAGAAATTTCTGACGTAGATCTACCAGGTGTTCTTCACTTCCTACTAACTCGACAAGAAAACAAGCCACCTTGTACCAGACTACAAGCATGTTTACCATGAAAGACACCGGTGATTGAACGTAATACACCACACGTGTCGTGTTCATGTTTCTTCCGTGGCCCACTGAAAGTTAGCGTGTTTGTGTGCTGTCCAGTATAGTATTGATAGTACTAACAAAAAGCCCATAAATAAATTAGTGTAATTATAAATGTACTGTCATGTGCTATGTACTCAAGACTCACCTGAATCGTGGCGTATCACCTAGACATTCCTCGAAATCGATGGGTTTCAGCATAGTGAACGACGACATAGTCGCTGGCAAGAATCCTCGGTGGGTCCACGAACGACAAAGAAATCAAACGATGAAGACAGCAGCCAGTCCTGAGTTTGCTCAACAAGTCGTTCGAACTGCACGCATACGACCCAGGTGTTCCGAGGGTGGTGGACTTTTTGCTTTTGAACTACATGTACTGGCAACAATTGCACCGGTAGTGCTAGTATTACTAGATCGACAATCCATGTACAGCACTTCAGCAGTAATACAAGACTCAAGAGGTTCTGTCCGTACTCTTCTGGCAGTCTTGTTGGCGATGATTAGAACAACTATGTAGCAGCGTGCAGCTGGCTGGCTGACGGAGATATGGGCTATCTGCCACCGGCATAGAGCACGAAGGCAAGCCTTCACATCCTTTCAAGCACTTGCTCATCCCTCGGAGACTCGCTGTGACCATGGACACCTGCCATCTCCCAGTACAGTGCAGTCCAGAGCATTTCGATTTTGAAAACATTTACCTTCTTGGCTCGATATCGATACGAGCTTGAAAATGATGCCAAGAAAAGGACAAAATGATGGGAATGGGCCCGACCTGGCCTTATGAGGTGTACGCAAGCGTGGGGACGCGGAGAAACTGCCCTATAATTAATTATTGGCCTAATATAGAAAATTCGAAAGTCTGGGAAACATCAAAATCACTTGCACGACGCGACGCCACGAGATCATGTGCACGTGCATGCATCGAGGGCCTACACGTGGGGCGTAGGTCTACATAGTTATCGCATTGACATCATGCATGCATGATCAGTGATCACCAATGCAAATGGGCAATGGACCATTGACAATAAGTATTATTATTATTTGAAACAGAATGGAAATCTCAGACGTAGATCTACTATACGTTTACAATTCAACTTGAATTGTAGTAGAACATGTACATGTATATAGAGTGCAACATGGAATGAGTGTCTTGTAGTACGTGTATGCTACTGCAGTTACGTCGTTCCTGTCTTGGTCGTGAAACGAAAGGAAGGTGAGTGTCCTGTGGATAAGACTTTTCCCATAGTGTGTTTCGAAACAATTAAAAAAATAACACGGAATGAATGGTAGGAGAAGAACTGTATAAAACAACTTCTGCTCGAAGGTCAGCATATGCCATACGATTCAAACGCTTCAAAGCCTGCACCCAGTTTGATCACCCTTGAAGCAGCATTTTGCATTTTTATCTGAACACATGTTTTACTTTACGGCTGCATGTACATGTCCACACAGTATAAACCTTTCCCAAAAATCAAAATGTCAATTTTTATTTTAGTACCCGTACAGTAAGATTGGGCGCCGTAGAACACTTAGGCTGGAAAATAGCACAAATTGAAGAACAATCCAGGCTAGATTTGCGTATCTAAGAACACAATGCTTTATACGTGGTGTGTGATCGCATCACATGATGCTCTCCATGCTCGCAGAATAAGAACAAAACGACTAAAATCTGAACATTTTAGAACCATATCAGGCTGCGCCTTGAGCCCCTCCGTTCTTCGACGCCCGATCTTACTGTAGTGGCGTGCACAAAAGCGCTTGTGCCTATATCCGGGCATACGCGCACCCTCACATATAAGCACATGGGCCTATGGTGAACCCAACCCCGCGACACACTGACACCACCATGATACTGTATACATGTACCGTCTTTACAGGATTTAATGTGAAATTTCCAAAGTCCATACCGCGTACCGGAAACTCAATTACAAGTTCACATGCGCCTATATGTGAGACCAATCGACCTTCAAAAAATTTCACACCAAATATATGGCAAAAACTCGCGTATAAGCGCATGGGCTTGAATGGCGGTCATTCAATACGGTATAATTATTTAAAGCACCCCTGAGATGTTGGAAATTAGCAAGGCTTGACCACAGCTCACGACACTTTGCTGTCCCCATGGTCGCACATGCACGGGTATCAACGTGTTTGACAGTGTGCTTGTTGACGTACTGGTGGAGTGGACTCCTGGCTACACACGGCGGGCAGTACAGAGCCGCCCGCATTCCTCTGGAATAAATTAATAAGTAAAAGTAAATTATCGTGTCCGTTCCCGAAGGGAGCTCACGACGGCCACTAACACCTGGTAAGCCCAGCGGCAGATGCAACGCCTAATGGTGGGGGCGAGGGGATACGTCTCAAAACTAATGGCACTCTATTCCTCTGGAATAGCACAAAATTACTTTAAATTAGCCATTTCCAAACGAAGGTAAGTAGGTTCACAAGCATTCACACAATTTTACACATCCAGTCAATAAGGCACTTCTCAGATGGTATGACAAGTTTTCGTTTCCCTTCTCTTCAGGATTATACAGGGAATGGCTGAAACGAAAAAATGACGGATGTGTAAAATTGCTTGAATGCTTGCGAATCGACCTTCGTTTTGGAAAATTATTGACACACACACGCACGCACGCACGCACGCATGCACCACCACCACCACCACCACCACCACTAGAGAAGATAGTAGTATATACAGGTACACAATGTTCAATCTTCGAAGATTTCCTTTGACGGCTTTGCCCAACACATCCTTCTCGAAACACCATATGACTTCTTGAATCTGACAACACCGATTTCCGGCAAGGTATCTGAAGAAATGTATCATTGCCAGTTGTTTACCGTGTTTTTCCAGCATTCGTAGTCCGTCTCCTGCAGGATGTTTCCAAAACAAATGGCTGGAACTTGTGTACATCTTGTATTGTGGCTTCTTGCAGCTTCAGGACTACAAGACAATGCTTGGGTGAACACACTCCTTCCCTGTAAATCTGAATCAGTTCCTTTTGAAAGCTTACCTTTCGGCACTTGGCCATTGTCCGGTAAATTAAACAGCGATGCTGTGGAAGCTGCGAAGGAGCAGTTTATATGCACGGTAGCGTGCCCCAAAAAGATTTGAATTGTCTCACATTCAGGGAGGGAGAAGCATAAATCACTGTGCCAATGCACTGCAAAGCAAAATTGTAAGCCAAAAAGATGTGAATTGTTTCACCTTTCGCGAAGAGTGAAGCAGAAACCACTGCGCAAATGCACTGCAAAGCAAAGCTGTAGACCGAAAAATGTGAATTGTATCATGTCTTGGGAGGGAGAACCAGAAACACATGCGCCAATGCACTGCGAAACAAATACATGTAGGTGGAAAGTGTGAGGAATGCAGACAGCTCAGATATCTCTGTCATTGTGATTGGTTTCCCCTGCTATATTTCACAATTCTCGTGCTCAACAAAGGATAAGGTGCGAACAACCGAATCCAGTAACAGTGTCTTGGTTATATTCCACTCCCTCACCTCGACGTGGTTGAGCACTCTTTCTGCTTAGCGTCAAAGCTATCGGCCCTCGCGCAAAGCTATCGGCCCTCGCGCAAAGCTATCGGCCCTCGCGCAAAGCTCGCTGCATTTCTCACAGTTAGAGCATTCTGACCCTGATGCTTTGGCTGTTGGCTATCAGTTTAATAATGCTTTGCTGTTGACTAGACTGACTTGAGATCGGTTTGCCAGTCACTCTGGGCTCTGATTTATGTGCGGAAATATGTTATGCATCACACATGTGTGTGCGTGCATTTGCATGTGTATATTTTCATCCTTTTGAAACAAAAAATTCTCCATGGTTTGTTGTTTCAGCAACTGCCAGGTAGTAATTTAACTATGCCAGTATGTGGTGCACTTCTTCGGAGTGTCCGACCTGCCCACTGTCAATTCCGAGCGGGTGTTGGCTGTTGCTGGCGCTATGCTCATCATTCGACGGCTGACCCGGTTGCATATTTGGCAAAGCGTGCACTTCCGCCATGGTGCAAGGTGCACGTGGAATCGAACATGAACGTTATCGTGCTACCGAACACATATGTTACTCGTTTCCTTGTCGGCGCATCCAAGCCGGAGCTTGAAGATGGCGACCAGGTGGGACTTCTCTTTGGAATAGCAGATATGCTGAATGTTACTCTCTTAGCTTAATCTTTTGAGGTCTCGTCACGAAATGTGCGATCGTGTACATATGCATTGCACAACACATACCCTGTACCACGAATGGCCTGTGCAACACTCAGGGGATTCTGTCCCTGCATTAGCTATGCTTGTCACATGCTATGAGATTGTGTCTAATAATAATAACAACACACAGACACACACACACACACACACACACACACACACACACACACACACACACACACACACACACACACACACACACACACACAAACACACCCATGCATGCGCACGTACGCGCACACACACACACACACACACACACACACACACACACACACACACACACACACACACACACGGCATGTGCTGTATGACCGTCTCACAGTGTAGTACAATATCAAAATGGTGTGCTTATTTCATATCATTTGCTCATCAGGTGATGTCAGTATGGCTAGGCAAAGGCAGCAGCAAGTCACCGCCAGCCCCCGTCACCTTTCAAGCCTTACCAGACAGTGCGAAAGACTTGGTGACGTTTGGCCTTGAGTCATCAGACGATGTATCGATCTCCTGCCACGTTTCAGAGTCTGTGCTACGCGAACTTCATGGCATTGTGCCAAGCCCTACCTTTGTGTTCCACATACCCTTGAAAACAAGTAAGTACACACACATACTTGGTTTTCTCAGTGTAGGCGGATCTCTGCTGTTCCTGAAGTGCTAAGTTGTGTGTAGTGCACCGGTTCTGTATGGCGCTGCCAGTCTAAATGCAACAGCTTTGTGCACTGTATGGCTCGCACAACATAACTCCTTTGGGTGGTGTAACTTGTGATTGGTGGTGAGTTTTGCAATTCCTATTTCTCTTGGTTCTGGAAGGTGTTGACCTGCTTACAGGCGGACATGCAGTTGTGCACGGTATTGACTGTGATGATGTAACGATGAGGTCATCATCTGGAAACTGTGAGGTGTCAGGGCTCAAGGTAAATATGATGGGGGTTGCTGGCGTTGCTACTCACCCAGTTCCCGGATACATTGAGGCACGCGATAAGTCTTTTTAACGGTTTCAAATATTATTTGAACAGTTTCCTGGGAGAGCCTGAAGTGTGTCCTTCTTCTGAATATTATTTGAAATCATATTTTGATGTTTGGCGATTACGGCAGAATGTCCTGAACTTTTCCAGAAATGAATCAGAACTTGGCTTTTGCAGTGTGTTGGGGAAGTGAGGCCTACTCTAAAGACTTCCCCTTGTTCATGCATTTGTTTTATTCTTCTTGTGTTTTGTTGTTATAGGTGTCCAATCAAGTGAGTATGGTGGCAGACTGCCAGTCTACTGATGACGCCGGCTCCATCACCATACTGGACACCGTGCAGGCATCCAGCATCTCTGCTGTGGCAACACGGGTCAGTATAATATACTTATTATGCCAGTGGTACCAGCTGTGGTGTTTGTTGCTCGTGACATACTGTGTGCATCTAGCATGGCACTGTTCAAGACGCAAACGAGGTTTTTCAGGGACTGTTCATGGAAGAAGTACAAGTAGATCTACTGGTACTACAGCTATGGCCGTACAGAATCAATAAGGACAACAACTAGACAAGTCACTTGAAGTGCTCCAAGAACAATATCAAGACTTGTTTCTTGGACAGTGATTTTCGGGATAATCAACAGGAATGTCGGGATCTCGGGAGTTCATCCAAAAAGAGGGATACTCCCGAAAAATCGGGATACTTGGCAGGTATGTTTTCAAGGTGCGTATGTATTACTCTTGCTCTGTTGATTTTGCGCATGCAGCGAATAGAGTGCAACCGGCTACTGGCGCTTGATGTCTCCATGTCCGTGGATCACAAGGAATGTGAGTACGTCCATCATACTTGGGCACGTGTCGGCCCTCCTCATCAGGTGTGTAGCCGGGGAGGAGGGGGGGGGGGGGGGTGCAATGCGCATGCATCCGATGTTGGTTCAGCATGTGTATGCTCGGGCCACATGGCATTGAGATCTTAATGTACGATATCCATTTTGAAGCCAAGATCGAGTGCGGGTATGGAACGGCCATGAGGCCAAATTGTAGCTGCACTTATATTTGGCCATAGAAAGCACAGGGCCAGGTTTTTGTATTTGAAAATATCTGGTGCATATGGAAAAGTGGTATGAAACTGCTGAAGTACTTCTCATTAACATTGTCATATCATTGTCAACTTGTCAAGCCTTGTAAACATTGAAACACTCACAGTGACTGTGGTCATGTTCTCATGCTGCATACACGTAGTGCCCGAAAAGCTGGGGTCGTATTTACAATAGGTATGGTTAGCATTTTACTGTTTACGCTACAATCCAACGGCACTCGTATCCATCACCCCAAATACCGTCGGTTTGGTATCGTTTCGACGATAGAAAGCTCTGTTTACCGGGAGAACGAAACGGTAAGATTCCAACTAGGAGAGCACTTTAATAATAATAAAAGTACTTGTGGACACTCGAATTCGGTGGGCTGCAGCAATTGTTACCTGTTGTGTTTGTTCTGCTGTAGCAAACTACTCTGATCAGATTGGAACTAGCGTGTCTGCTAGCCTACATGCCGAGTCTATCTATGCTCAGAAGATTACATTGGCATCTTCGGGATC